GGAAGGCTTCCTGTAGAAGGTAGGCTTTTAGTCAAGACTTAAAGGAGGCCAGAGAGGTCAGTGGTCAGAGCAGAGGAGGGAGAGCATGCCAGGCATGGGGGACAGCCCGGGAAAATGCCCAGAGTGGGGAGATGGAGGGTCTTGTTCATGGAACTGCCTGGATGCCAGTCAGTTGCCACTGTAAATTATTCAGACTTCGTATTTTCATATTTTTAACAAATGTCTCAAGACTGACTGAAACTTTTTGTTTGAAAGATATTACACAGGTTATAAAATTCTGCTTCCAGGGCTCTTTAGGTATGCAGAAATACATTTTTGTAAATGATAAACTTACATCATTTTTGGCAAAATAAAAGCTTAGTTTTTAATTGTCTTGCTACTTGTGATGGTCATATTTCATCATCTCATATTTCAAGGGAGTTCATAGTTAATGATAGTGACTGTAAATGGATATTTCAAATTATCTTGATAATTTGTGCTTTTAAAATTTTGCTAACTTCTTGGCGGATTTGTTTAGACTCTCGTTGTTTTTAACTTTGCGGTGTGGCTTATGAAGAGGAGGCACTTTGGACAGGAGGAATATCAGCTCATCTGTTTTCTCGTTGGCCACGTGTATTCACACCTTCACTCTTGCCTTCAATTTGTGGTTTCTTTGCAGAAATCTTTTTAAGCCTCTTATCTATCTTGCAAAAGTTAATTTAGTTAAAATTAGATAATATACTCTGTAAATCCACTTGGCCTGACACGGGTAAACTGATAGATTGAAAGAGAATGATTAAGGGTGCTGCTGTCAACTCCTGGCCATGAAAATCCGATTCTTACATAACGTATAAGGCATATGGGCATTTGGCATACAGACTGAGTGAAGGCACTGGCGTCAGTCCTCCAATAGTGCATTAAAGTTTCATTTTTCCCACAACCCCTCCAACATTTGTCATTTTCCTTTTCTGTCCTGTTAGCTAATCTAATAGGTATGAGGTAGTACCTCAGAATTGTTTTAGTTTGTATTTCTCCAATTAGTAGTGATTTAGAGCATTTTTTTCATATGGCTATAGATAGCGTTGATTACTTCATCTGAAAACTGTTCATATCTTTTAATCATTTATCAGTTGGGGAATGGTTCTTATTTTTATAAATTCGACTTAGTTATGTATATATGTGAGAAAGGAGGCCTTTATCAGAGAAACTTGCTTCAAAATTTTTTTCACAGTTACTATTGCTAACTATATATCCCTCCAACCTATGATGCCCCTCCCCCCGTTTATTCTATATTCTTTCTCCTTTCACCCTGTCCCTCCTCAAAAGTATTTTGTTTCTGACCACTGCCTCCGCCAATCTGCCCTCCCTTTTATCACCTTCCTCCTCCTTCCCTTATCCCCTTTCCTTCTTAGTTTCCTGTATGGTAAGATAGATTTCTATACCCAATTGAGTCTGTATGTTATTCTCTCTTTGAGCTAATTCTGATGAGAATAAGGTTTACTCACTCCCCCTGCTCCTACTTCCCCCATCTTCTCCTCCACTGTAAACACTTTTTCTTGTCTCTTTTATGTAAGATAGCTTTCCCCATTCTACCTTTCCCTTTCCCTTTCTCCCAGTGCATTCCTCTTTCTCATCCCTTAATTTTATTTTTTAGATATCATCCCTTCATATTTGACTCACACATGTGCTGTCTGTCTGTATATACTCCTTCTAACTGCCCTAATTATGAGAAAGTTCTTATGAGTTACAAGTATCATTTTCTCATGTAGGAATGTAAATAGTTCAACCTTATTAAGTCCCTTATGTTCTCCCTTTCCTATTTACCTTTTTATGCTACTCTTGAGTCTCATGTTTGAAAGTGAAATTTTCTTTTCAGCTCTAGTCTTTTCATCAAGAATGCTTGAAAGTCCTCTATTTCAATGAATATCCATTTTTCCCCTGAAGGATTATACTCAGGTTTTCTGGGTAGGTGATTCTTGGTTGTAATCCTAGCTCCTTTGCCCTCTGGAATATCATATTCCAAACTCTCTGATTCTTTAAGGTAGAAGCTGTTAAATCTTGTGTTATCCTGACTGGCTCCATGATACTTGAATTGTTTCTTTCTGGCTCCTTGCAATATTTTCTCCTTAACCTGGGAGCTCTAGAATTTGGCTATAATATTTCTGGGAGTTTTCATTTTGGGATCTCTTTTAGGAAGAGATCTGTGGATTCTTTCCATTTCTATTTTATCCTCTGATTCTAGTATATCAGGGTAGTTTTCCTTGATAATTTCTTGAAAGAGGATGTCTAGGCTCTTTTATTAATCATGGCTTTCAGGTAGTCCAATAATTTTTAAAATTATCTTTCCTGGATTTATTTTCCAGGTCAGTCGTTTTTCCAATGAGATATTTCACATTGTCTTCTATTTTTTAATTCTTTAGGTTTTGTTTTATTGTTTCTTGATTTCTCATAAAGTCATTAGCTTCTGTTTGCTCAATTTTAATTCTTAAGGAACTATTTTCTTCAGTGAAGTTTTAGACTTCCTTTTCCATTTGGCCAGTCCTGCTTTTCAAGGCATTCTTCTCCTCATTGGCTTTTTGTACCTCTTTATCATTTGGCCTAGTCTGTTTTTTAAGGTGTCATTTTCTTCAGTATTTTTTTGTGCTTCTTTTACCAAGCTGTTGCTTGTTTTTCATTATTTTCTTGCATCACTCTCATTTCTTTTCCCAATTTTTCCTTTAACTCTTCTACTTGATTTTCAAAATCCTTTTTGTGCTCTTCAGTGGCCTAACACCAATTCACATTTTTCTCGAAGGCTTTGGATGTAGGAGCTTTGACTTTGTTGTCTTCTTCTGAGTGTGTGTTTTGATTTTCCTTGTCACCACAGTAACTTTCTATGGTCAGATTTTTTTTCTGTTGTTTGCTCATTTTACAGCCTATTTCTTGACTTTTAACTCTTTGTTAAAGTGGGGATCTGATTCCAGGATGGAGAGTGCACTGTCCCAAGCTTCAGGGGTTTTGTGCAGCTGTTTTTAGAGATAGTTCTAGGGACCTGTAAGTTTTCAGTTACTCCAGAGTGGTATGATCTAAGGATAGGTGTGTTTACTACTCTTCTGGCCTATGCTCTGGTCTGTGAGTGACCGCAAGTACTGTTTTCTGCCCTGGAACTAGGACAAAGGTCCGTGCATCACTATGGCTACAAGCTCTGGTGTGCTAGTGCTCCTTTTCATCCAGGGATTGCCGCTTGGTACTGTAATGCAGATCTGAGTATAGGCAAAGTACCAGGATCCTGCCCCCAGTGCCAGCAAAGAAACCCCTGTAAACTCCTGATTAGTTGTTTTATCCTCTTACTGTCTGTGGGCTGAGAGCTCTGGAAGCAGCCACTGTTGATTCAGTAGCTCCCAAGACTGGCTCCTGGTTTGCTGGGGCCAGGCTGTGCTGGCACAGCCTGTGCTGGGCTCTGTGCCACTTCACCCAGGTGTGACCGACTTTTCATGCCATTTTCTAAGTTGTCTTGGGCTAGAGAATTATTTCACCCTGTCCTTTTGTGAGCTCTGCCACTCCAGGAATTGTTTTATGGCATTATTTAAAGGCATTTGGAGGGGTTTTGGGGAGAGCTCAGTGAGTTACTGCCTTATCTCCACCATCTTAGATCTGCCTCTCCATTCATTTTTATAGAGACATTCAAAGCTGTGAACTTTATTGTTGGATTTTCTCTCTGTGAAGTGCCTATGTTTACTCCTTTTTTCCTGCTGTTTTGTAGGTGCTTTCTATGGTATTTACATTTTTAGATTTATAGAAGTTGTTTTCTTCCTTATCTTCCCCCTTTAGTTTAAAGCCTTTTTAGAGTTCTAAGTTTCTAGGCACGTACATTTTTTTTTTCAGCCAAAGACAAGGTTTATTAAAGATCTGCCATATTAGCTGGACTCTTAAGGAATCTGAGCACCTGTGAGCTATTGGCTAGATTGTAAGAATCTGAGCACCTTAATAGAGAAAAGATGGACCCTATATACAGAAAGACTGTAGGAGTGGCCAAGTAGTTTGGGGTGACTGGAGGGAGGGGTCTAAGGAGGATCTGGATGGGAGTGGCCAGTAAGCTGAGGTGACTGTGAAGTAACTGAATGCCCAGGACCTGGACCAAGTGGCCAAGGGAAAATGGAGCCTAGCTAGGATTAAGGGTGGGAAGTGGCTGGGGGCCATAAGGAGGTAAGACAATGGAGGGCTAGGCTAGGTTAAGGGTAACAGAATTGGGAGATGGGTTTAGCCACAATTAAAGGCCAGTTGATGGGATTATGGCCTCAGGGGAATGCCAGAGACCTCCTTGATCAAGTAGGAGAATTCAAGGAGAACCCCTTAGTCAAATGGGACCCAAATTCTTTTTGGGGGTAAGGGGCAAAGGTCTTTGCTTGGGACCATACCCCATCATTAGCATGGCTGATAGGCACATACATTCTTACCACTCCTTCTTGGGTAGTTTTTGCCCAGGACTTCATAATCCCTAGCTATCTTTTCTAGGTTCCTGTTGGAAGTATCATTTTTCCCTATATAGATCATTAGAATTGGGTAGTAATCATCTTATTTGACCAGTCTTGGGAGTATGTCTGGTACTTCTCACATTATGTGCACAGGTAAGTCATTAATTCTCTCTATAACTAATGTCATCAGCAGATGGCTGGGCCACCTTGGTACTCTTCAGCAGGAAGTCTCTAACCAATCCTGCTTATCTCTTCTGACATTTAGCAGATAATCTCTCTCCTATCAGCACATGTGAAATTACGTCATTATTCCTTGAAGTGTAAGGAGTTTCTTTCTTCATAAGTTACATTCCCCACTCTGTTGGAAGAGTCTTATGCCTTTTACTTATTCCCAGTCATTCTTGTCTTTCTTCTCTGTGTTCACATTCTTCAACCCCAAAACATTAAAATAGGGCAGGTTTCCTCTTTTTCTTTAGTTTTGTTTTCTTTGTTTTTACTTTGGAGTCTTGCTTTCCTTTTTGCTCACATCACAGACAACATTGAATATTTACACCTTTCCCCCCCTAGATTTTCTTCATGAATGTAATATACTTGGAAGACTTCATCCTGGAGAGAAACCATTTGAATGTAATCAGTGTGGGAAAACTTATTGCAGCAAACAATATTTAACTGAACATCAAAGAATTCATACTGGTGAGAAACCTTATAAATGTAAAGAATGTGGGATAGCCTTTAGTCAGAAGAGGCACCTTAAAATACATAATATAATTCATACTGGAAAGAAGCCTTTTGAATGTAATCAATGTGGGAAAGCTTATTGCAGCAAACAATACTTAACTGAACATCAAAGAATTCATACTGGAGAGAAACCCTATAAATGTAATGAATGTGGGGAAGCCTTCAATCGTAAACACTCCCTAGGCCAACATGAAAAAATGCATACTGGAGAAAAACCCTACAAATGTAATGAATGTGGGAAAGCCTTTGGTCAGACGAAACACCTTAAAACTCATAAGATAACTCATACTGGAAAGAATCCCTTTGAATGTAATGAATGTGGGAGAGCCTATTGCAGTAAACAATATCTAACTGAACATCAAAGAATTCATACTGGAGAGAAACCCTATAAATGTAATGAATGTGGGAAAGCCTTCAACCGGAAACATTCTCTAGGCCAACATGAAAAAATGCATACTGGAGAGAAACCCTACAAATGTAATGAATGTGGGAAAGCCTACAGTCAGAAGAGACACCTCAAAATACACAAGATAATTCATTCTGGGAAAAAGCCCTTTAAATGTAATGAATGTGGGAAGGCTTACTGCAGGAAACAATATCTAACTGAACATCAAAGAATTCATACAGGAGAGAAACCTTATAATTGTAACGAATGTGGGAAAGCCTTCAGCTCTAAGGCAAATTTTTATGTACATAAAAGAATCCACAGTGGAGAGAAACCCTACATATGTAACGAATGTGGCAAAGACTTTACACAGCAAGGACAACTTAAAATGCATAAAATATTTCATACTGGAAAGAAGCCCTTTGAATGTAATGAATGTGGAAAAGCCTTCTACACCAATTCTGGCCTTAAAGAACATAAACTAATTCATTCTGGAGAGAAACCTTTTGAGTGCATTGACTGTGGGAAAGGCTTCAGGTTCAGCTCAGGTCTTCTGAAACATCAGAGAAGTCATTCCGAAGAGAAACCTTATAAATGTAATGAATGTGGTAAAGGCTTCAGGCGGAGTTCATACCTTATGCAACATGAGAGAATTCATACTGGAGAGAAACCCTATGAATGTAATGAATGCGGGAAAGTTTTCAGGTGGAAGGGAAACCTTGATTCACATAAGAGAGTTCATATTAAGGGAAAACCGTATTCGTGTAATGAATGTGGGAAAGCCTTCAGGCTTAAAGACAGCCTTAATATGCATGAGAAAATTTGTACTAGAAAGAAATGCTTTGAATGAAAGGAGTGGATAGTAGCTTACAGTTGGAGGTGAAACTTTGCTGCACATAATAAAACAGTCCACAGCAATGCTTTGAATGTAAGGAATCAGTGAAAACTTTGCCATTTAATATGTATTTTTATTAGTTAAGAAACATGGAATTCATGCTGGGCAGAAATCCTATGACTAATGAATGTGAGAAAACCTTCCACTGGAAGCAAAACCTTAATATACACACAGAAAAACCTTAATATGTATAGGAAACCTTATTTTTAGTGTAACAAGTATGGGGAACCCTTCAAATGGTGTGGAATACATAGGGAATTTGAGGCAGTGATGGAGAGAACCCTGCTGTTATACAAAATATAGAAAAGGCTTAATGAGAAAACAAAACTTAGCATGAACCAGAGCTTTCATACTAAAGGCATTACATTTAATGTGATGAATGTGGCTTTACTAAAACAGAACAGAAACCTGGAGGACCATAGGAGACTTCATGCTAAAGAAAGAAGTTCTTTGGTTATAATGAATTGAGAGTCTTCATGCTGAGTCAGACCTTTGCTACACATCATAAAATTGTTACTGTGGAGGTTGTCTTTAAAAGATATATTTGGGGGAAACTTCAGTTAGGGGGAAAACATTACATGACCTCAGATAACTTATCTGGCTGAGAATCTCCATGAATGTAGTAAGAATAGTTGGAAGTCCATCATTGACCTCAAACTATTGATTAACTCTGCAGGTGTGATGGAAAGAATGCTTCAGAAGAGTTCATAGTCTCAAAATTTCAGTTAGAAGGGGCCTCAGAGGCCATTTGGTCAAGTTTTATCTGAAAAGGAATCTTCTATACAAGATGCAAGTTTTATCTAGTTCTTGTTGTAAGACTTTTAATATTTGGGAGTCCATTGCTTCCTTAAGGCAGTGGGCTCCACTTTTGGATTAATCTGATAATTCAGTTTTTTCTTATATGAAGCTAGAATGTGCTTCTTTGCACTTTCTCCCATTTCTCTTAGCTTTGCCCTCTGTGGCAAAATACGACATGCTTAATCCCACTTCCTAGTGACAGTCCATCATAAACTTGACATCAGCTATAATGCCCTCCCTTAGTCTTCTCTTCTGCAGAAACATCCTCCATTCCTTCACCTCAACTTCATATAAAATGAACTAAAGCCCTTCACTGTTCCGATTGCTCTCTTTTTAACACTCAAGCATATCATTTGTCTTCATAAAATATGGCATGAATGAAAGAAAAATCATTAATTATAATTACTTACTAATTGGTTACTGGCTTACTAAGTGCCAAATGTTGTGCTAAGCACTGAGGATACAAATACAAAGAAGAAACAGTTTCTGCTCCCAGGAAACTTAGATTTTAATATGGGAAGAAAACATACATAGGAGAGTGGTAGTTTGGAATAGTTGTTGTGGCTTGGGAGATGGTGAATTGATTGACAGGCCCTTTTTCTAATAGTGCTGGTGATATTATCACCATGATCAAATGATCATGGTTATAGAGGTAGAAAACTGGAGATGGAAGAGGGGGAAGAGTAGAAGGATATATGATGTAATACGTTAGATGTCAAAAGATGACCATGGTAGAATGTCAATCTTGGCTAGAAATGGCTGGATATTGTGGGTCAGTTGACATACTCATTAATTAGAATAGCACAGCCCTATACTAAGAATTCTAGAGCTGAGAGGGACAAGTCCTTGAGAGAATGGCATCTGGTATATGAAAGTACAGTAGTAGGGAAGATGGTGAGGTCTGGAGGGCCATAGGGTACAGCAGAGGCAGGGCAGATGACTGTGGTACTATTTCAAGTGTGGTGGAACCAGTTACATATGGGTCATGTGATCCACCTGCCAGTTAGATAGTGAAGAGCCAGGAATTCCAGAGCTAAGGACATAGTCTTTTGTTTCCAGTGCATTAGCAGGATGGATAACAAATTCTGGAGGTCCAGAGGATTCAGTGGTAGATAGAGGGAAGGATAACCTAGGGTGGAATGTGAACTCTAGCTTAGGCTAGCCAGACATAATTGGGAAATTTAATGCACCCACCAATCAGGGTAGCACGGGCCTTGTGGCGGGAATTCCAGAGATGAAAGGTGTGTTCCAGAACTAATGAGAATATTGTGGATAGACGTGGTCTGAACAGCGGAGCAGTGCAGCGTTCATGCATCCTGAGATGCTTTCTTTGGCTGTACTTTTACATTGTTTGACTCCTTTTGGGTCTCTCATCTACCAAAACCTCCTGGCTTTTAGTAGATGAACTGCTCTCTAGCAATGCCTCCCCTGTTTTGTACTGGTAAAGCTGATGTGATAAACCTGAGTGTAAGACATTGTATTTACCCTTATTATATTTAATCTGATTCAGTTTGGCCCAGTGTTCTAGCAGGTCCAGCTTTTTAGAATACTGACTCTGTGATCCTAGTGTGTTACCTTTTCTTCCCAGGTTTGTTCCATCTGCAAATTTGATAAGCAGGCCTTGATCCAACTATTAATAAAGATGTCAAATAGCACAGATCTCTGGAATGCTACATTGGAGGACCCCTTCCCCTTTAATATCAAAGGGTTCTCATCAAAAGAAATTCTACTTTATTCAGTGCTGAGGGGGTATTGTGTCATATGTTTTTTTTTTCCCCAACAGCCACAATAGTGTTGCCTTGAGAGAAAAATGACTTGGAAGTTCCCTCCAGTGATGTGGATCAGTGGTCCCTGCTGGCTGCATATTGACTTAGAAAACTACAAATTAATATCATCTATATTGTATTTTTATGTATTTTGTTAAACATCTCCCAATTACATTTTAATTTGGTTCAGGCTGCTAATATTAGGGAGTCTACAGATCATAATCCATTTTCCCTTAAGTTGACCAGTGAATCCACCTAATGTTCTGGAGTCCTTCCTTGAATTCTGACATCATGAGGACACCAGTGGAACACTTTATTCATCTATCATACTTTACCCTTGCCATATGACATGCCCTTCTTATTTTCCAATCATATGATTCATTGATGACATCTTTTACTCTTGTTCTTTGGAGCTGCTCATTGGTTATAAGTTATACCGTGTTCACACCCACTATAGGCCTCTCTATTGCCTCTGTGTGATAGTTATATCTGATTCTTTGGAGTCTTGTATTCCGTGTTTTATTGCCCAACAGTATTATCAATAGAATGTTGGTATTAAAAAGATAGACTTTTGGTTTCTTGGGAATCTTGGAGGCATTAAATAAGCTTTGCAATTTCCTATTGGCAGTCCAGCACCCCTTTCCTCCTGGTCAGCTTTGGATGTGTCCATCTGTATAGTCTTTCCCAAATACACATACTGTTGGACAAGTTCTGTAGGTTGGTCATCAACATGCATGTTTTAATCTGGGCAGTAGACATTCTTCAGCTACTTGGTCTTTCTTGTTTGGATGGTCAAGCTGCAGTCCTTTGAAAGATAATAGATTTCTTCCAGAAGACTGCAGTATCCCAGGACTTGATGCATTTAGCACAGTGTTATCCATAAACGGAAACATCTCGAAGACATCACTTTTACAACTTAAAGTTTATGTTCGATCTTTTCCATCATGGTGGCAAACGGTTTTGGCAAAAATAAATCTCTCTGTTTTATGCCTTGCCTTATATTTATGAGTATGGGGTTGTAGAACAGGATTATTTCTGTTATTTTATCTTTAGAATGATTTTAACGTATGGGTGGGGAGCCCCTTGTTGCAAAAGAACCCGTAAGGTGGCATTTTGTTCTGTCTGATCAAATACTTTTGAACAAACAGTGGGCGCAGTAGAATCCCAAATCCTATACATCTTTCATTTAATTGTGAAATGGTAATGATGTGGTTCAGTGTTGAAGATTGCTTGCCAAGGCCTATTTAATCTTTAGTAATAACCTCATTAAGTAAATCCTTAATTCATCTCATGTCATACTTAATGACTTCATTAAATTATGAGCTGCTTACGGGGGCAGGACCATCTTTTGCCTCTGTTTGTATCCTCAGCCCTTAACACAGTACTTGGCACATAGTAGGCACTTAAATGTTGTGGGTTTTTTTTTTGACTGACTGACTGACTGACTGACTGACTGATGTAGATGATTCTCATAAAGATTTTTAACTTCAGAAGAAGGTATGTAGGTCAGAAGTTACTGATGTTCTCTTGGTCACTTTTGTCAGTATTAATAAATAAGGTTCCAGATTTTTCCATTGCTTTGGTATCTTCCTCTCAAATACCTTGGATATCCATCCTTCAGTGGCCTCACAATTGTGTCATTTCTAGTACAGGTCTCCTCAATGTACATTTGGTCTGGGCTGCCCAATTTTCCCATCTTTGTTCTCTATATTGTCATTTCTTTCTTTCCTATGAGCTCACCCAATATTGTGATGTTAGCCTATGTGTTCGATGATTCCACTGTTTTTGATGTAGAAAAAAACATTTTTCATGACAACTTTTACAAATATTCCCCATTTGTCTTTTTGTTTTCCTTCCATTTTCATTTTTAATGTACTTTGGATGACTTTGTTTAGTTGAATACCATGCCAAACTTTTATCCTCCTCTGTTTTTCTCAGGGGCCATGCTCCTGAGAATTGTCCATCATTCTTCTTCGTAATATTTTAAAAATAAAGTCATATTCTAGCCTGGTGTAGCTTTGGCTCACACAGCTCTTCATTTGTCAAGTCAGATGTTTGCTGACTGATGAGCTTTCTATGCTCTTAGCTTCCTTGTAGCAAATTAATTTATATTGAGTTAACTTCCATGTAAAATTCTTAGAGTTGATATTGATATGTCTGTTGTCCCCATTTTGATTGTCAGTTACTTGTTTAAATAGTTCAGAGTTAAGTTATTTCACTTGTATGCCTTAATATTTTTCTCATCCTTTTTTTTTTATTAATTATAATCATAGCTCTGATCATAGATGGTCTGACATTATAGGTACCTGCTTCAGGGATAATTCATATCAATATATAGTCACTTCTTGTCTGCTAAAGTATAATCTACTTGTTTTTAACATGTTTTTATTTGGTGCTTCCTGTGTTCCACCACCTGCCAAATGCTTAGAGAAGCACATTGCAGTAAGCTGGCCATGTAGCAATGAATTGTTTTGGCCATGGCAACGCAAGAAACAAAGTAACATGAAAAGTGGCCATTGGTCTTTTGCTGCCCACCTTCTGCTTCAGAGGTGATGATGATAAGAGTTGTGGGAAAACAGACCATCAACAAATAGTAATTTGACTATTGATAATCTAAATGCAAGATCCTTGTCCAGTGGTCAAGTGGATACATTGCTGAAGGAGGAGAATCATATCCATCTTGACCTTCTTGTTATAAAACAAAACCAGAAGACAGCTGGAAGTTGTGGCCAAATAGTAGGATGTTGTTAGAAGACAACCTTAAAGGGACTAATTGGAGAAGCAAAGAAAGGTGGTAGATAGGGATAATGCAGCCCACCCTTATTTCTGTAAAGAGTGTTTTTAGTTTGTATTAATGCAAGCCCTGAGTGTGACTTAGTAGGTGGTATATTAAATGTTTATAGATACTTTGAATGGAATTTATTTTTTATAAATCCTACTGAGTTTTGTTAATAATATACAGAAAGGCTGAAGATTTGAGAGGTTTATTTTATATCTTGCTATTTGACAGAAGTTATTGTTTCAATTAATTTTTAGTTGAATCTCTATCATATCATCTGAAAATAGCGATTTTTTCTTCTTTGCCTATATTTATGCTCTCAATTTCTTTGTCTGTCTTTTTATATAGCTTGCATTTCTAGATATGTATAAAATTAGTGCTAACAATGGACATTCTTGCTTTTTTTTAGGTTACCTCATTAAGGAAAAGTCCATTTTCCCTAATTTATTTTTTAACATGAGTGTTTGTATTTTGTCAAAAGGTTTTTCTGCATCTTTTGATATAATCATGTGATTTTTATTTTTGTTACTAATATGGTCAACACAGTGACCATTAATAACTTTTGAAGGCCAGTGATCAAGAGTGCCTCACCTCTGGGCAGAGAGATGATGGACTAAAATGCAGAATGAGATGCATTTTCAGATATGGCTAATGTGCTTGGCAGCTTGACTATACTCATTTGTTAGAAGGGAGGGCTTCCATTTGGGGAGGCGTCATTTAGTGAGAAGGAAACATCCCTAAAACAAAAGAAAAAAACAGAAGGAAAAAAATTCAGAAGGAAAACAGACACAAAGGAATTTTACTACTTTGCTTAACCCAAAATGCCTTTTTGTATCTCTTTGTATATTAAAATATTTGTGTTTGTGGTTTATTAAGTCTGTAGGGAAAACATTACACATTTTTATAAAAAGAAATTCTTTGGATGTGGAGGAGTCTACCCTCCTCAGGGTGCCTTGGCAGTTTTTATACTCTGCAATTGTTTTTCATTCAAGATCAGTAAATCAAATCCTTCAATAAATTCCACTGGAATATATACAAGTTGTGTATTGGCTTTGCTTTTGCCATTTATTGGTGCAATGCTTACTATATATAATGCTGATACATATATATATATATATATATATATATATATATACATATATATATATATATATATATATATATATAAATTTTTAGTTGAATCCCCTAAGTTTTGGTCTCTTGTCTTAGAATAGTAATTTCCTTTGATGAAATTTACTATTGTTTCTATAATTTGTTCTTTAACCCACCAATTCTTTAAAATTGTCATACCGTCTCTATTTTTTAGTTCTTTCTTTAAGAGTTAGAGGTGCGGGGCAGCTAGGTGGCGCAGTGGATAGAGCACCGGCCCTGAAGTCAGGAGGACCTGAGTTCAAATCCGGCCTCAGACCCAACACTTAACACTTACTAGCTGTGTGACCTTGGGCAAGTCACTTAACCCCAATTGCCTAAAAGCCAAAAAAAAAAAAGAGGTGAAAATATCTGTGCATTCCAGACCCTTATAGCCAGGGCAAAGGCATGGAGATGGGAGATTGCAGATGGGAGATGGGTGTGTCCTGTTTCATGGTAGAGTATATGGAGTGGTAAGGCTTTATTAAGGAAGGGACCAAGCTATAAAGGGCCGCCTTCAGTGTAAAACAGTTTATTTTGCTCCTGGAGGTAACAGGAAACCTCTGGAGCTCACTGGGCGGGAAGGTAAGACTCACTCTAGGAAAAAAACCCCTCATCTTGTCAGGCGCATGTAGGCTTAGGGAGAGAATGCACCTCAGCCGGGGCAGCCCCTGGGAAGGCTCTTGCAGTCGTCCAGGCGGGAGGTGATGAAGGCCTGAATCGGGGTTTGCGGTGACAGAAACAGAAGTGGAGGCAAGATTGGAAGCAGATCGATACTGGCACCACTTAAGTTTGAGGTCCTGGGTGACTGGGAGGATGGAGAACTCCATTTAGGGTTTTCTTGGCAGAGATACTGGAGCGGTTTGGCATTTCCTTCTCCAGCCCATTTGACAGATTAGGAAAACAGGCAAACTGGGGAAGTGCCATGCCCAGGGTCTCTGAGGTCGGATTTAACCTCAGGTCTTCTGCTCCAGGCCCAGCTCCGTCCACTGACCCATCCAGCTACCCCAGCCCCCGCGGTTCTTAAACCTGGAGCCCCCCAACTTTTTTTTTTTAACTGCTAACTTTTTTTCGCTGTCGGGCTCCTTCCACCAG